ACATCGCAGACCCCACTGTGGCGTCGGGGTCTTGCCCCCCCCCACCATGTGTCCAGTGGGGGGTCCACCACCACCCTCCTGTCACTCCCCCAACCCCACCGGTCCCTTTGGGTGCATCGCCGCCTTTCCTGCTGCGGAGACCCCACGGAGGCACCCTCCCAAGGCGCCTGCCCAGAGCCCTCAGAGTGCCCCTCATTGTGCCCCCCCACATCCCCTCCTCCCGCCGCCGCCCCGCTTTCCTGGGGTTCTGGCTGCTGAAACTGCGCAACCCAACAACACTCCATGAGAGCCCCCCAGGGAAGCCCCCGAGGCCGGGAAGTACACGTAAAAAGGCCCACGTGGGGCTGGCTGTAGTGTGAGCTGTCCCCCAGGAGGCACCATTGGTGCCCTGGCTGACCACTGGCTCCGCCCCCCACCTCCCCCCTCCAGCAGCTTCCGCTTCCTTCAAGTCGGGGCGTAGCGCCCCTCTGCCATCCTCAGCCCTTTCATGATCATGTCTCATTAAAAATAAATACAGGGAATGTTTGAGGAGCCTCAGTTCAAGTGCCTTCGAATTAGTTTCCAGATTAAAATGTTTCTGAGAAAATGCTGCCCCAGTGACTTCTGGTCCATGCCCCCACACTCAGGATCTTCGTGTGTTTGTTGTAAGTGGGGTTCATGACTGCTTGGCATGTCGGGGGCACCTGGGCCTGTGGGTTTCTGGAAGGCAGGGGCTGTGGCGGTAGGGCTGCAACACTTAACTCTGGGGTGTGGCGCTCAAGCACTCGGTCTATAAGGGCAGCGCTGATCGAAACCGAGGGTCACGACCTTCCCAGAGTTAGAAGGAGGCTTCTTATGGGGAGTCTGCTCTCCACACTCTCAACCTGCCGACGAGGAGGCCGAGAATCCCAGGTTGAGTGACTTGTCAGTGGGGCTGTTTCCACACCCAGGTATTATGATAAATCTTATCTCTTTGGAGGCCTGATCTCCAAAGGCCTCCAACTGTATTCAACTGAGAGTAATAATAAACTGGTATTTTGGGAACACTTGCTACATAAAACAATGCTCTTGGCTCCTATCAGTAATTGTAATTCAAGTTCAGGCAACAAGGGTCAGGAAAAGGGGGTTGATGCTCTGAAAATTAATAAAGGAAACCTCAATTAAAGTTGGAGCGCCTGTAGGGGGAGCTCTCATGCTCTACCACTCATCCTCAATTACCCCAAAAAGGAAAAGACAAACCTTCCATCTCCAATAGGAAGAGGTTTTCTATTTGACTACCCTAGCAGGAGGAAGGAAGATTTTCTCCTTGCCTGGCAACAGCCCAGCCAATGAGAGATTGTCACAACTCAGTCAATGAAAAGCTGAAACTCCAAATTTCCTCCAATGGACTCTGTAACAGACCCTCCCAACTCCCACTTCCCTCTATAAAAAGAATGATCCTCTTCTTGGTTCTCCAGACTTGCCTATGGTTTTGCCATTAGACCTGACATTCGGAATTACAATTCTTTGCTGGTAAAATAACGATTTTTCTAGGTCAGCGATGCCATACCGCCACTGATCCTGGTCATCAAGGCTGACCGCTAAGGGGTGCTTGATCAGCACAGGCTTTGGCTGGAACAAGCGGGAAAGTGGTTTCCTGAGAGAAATAAAAACGCTAAACTCATGTTCATAGCTTGCTCTTGATCTCATCATGCAGAACAGAGGTCAGGATACCTGATGAGGAAGACAAACCAAAGCTCCTGGTCGCACTGCCTGACAACGCCCATGCCAACAAACCTGGCTTATTTCGTTCCATTATAAAGCCAAACAGTGCTGAGTGGAGTGGAAAACAGTTAGGAGATGACAAGAAAAATGGAAAAACCTGTTTGATAAAGACGCCTGCCTTCTTTCTAAAGAGAGAAACAAGAAGTTTTCACTGACTCAAGTCCATCTGTTTATCCAGTATCTTTTTTAAAAAATATATATTTTATTGATTTTTTACAGAGAGGAAGGGAGAGGGATAGAGAGTTAGAAACATCGATGAGAGAGAAACATCAATCAGCTGCCTTCTGCACACCCCCAATTGGGGATGTGCCCACAACCAAGGTGCATGCCCTTGACCGGAATCGAACCTGGGACCTTTCAGATCGCAGGCCGACGCTCTATCCACTGAGCCAAACCGGTTAGGAGGGCTTTATCCAGTATCTTAACGAAGCAGGTGAATGAATGAACAAACATTTACTTTGGACCTGTTACTTCCATGGCTTCACTGTATAATCACAATCCAGGGAGAAGAGAATTTAAACCCATTTTACAGATGAGGCAGCTGAGGACCTGAGAAGGGTAGTGAGTCCCCCGGCTTGTAGGACTCAGGATGAGGGCAGCACCTGGCCCTCTTCTTTGTGCTCTTCTAGGGGCATTTGCAACACTGTATTATAATGACCTGTACCTGTTCTGTCCCACACATGAGCCTGGGCATTACTGGTAGGCAAGAACTCTCGAGGACTTGTTTATCCAGCAACTAAAATGACACTTGGCACATAGCAAATTGTCAATGCATGTTGAATGAATGAATGAAGAAACAAATAAACTCGATGGAAAGCAGCAGAAGAAAGGGACGACATTATTTGATTTGAATTTACAGATTCTAGGTTCTAATCCGAGCTCTGCCATTTTCCTAGCTAGTCCACTAATCCTTCTGGCCCTTAGTTTTCTCACCTGTAACATCACACGATGGTGATGGTTGTTATTAACCTCCACAGTTTCCATAAAGATGAAATAAAAGCTCTCTTGCAGTCGCTGAGGTGTTGGAAGCCAATAATGACCAAAGTCATGTGGAATGGGGCTCCTGGAAGGGGAGAAAGAGAGAACCCCAGCTATCAATTCTTTGCACCAGGGCAGAGGCAGGATTCCCCGCCCCTCCACCCCCCCCTCACACACACACACAACACTACACACACAGAGAAGCCCTCAGATCCCCAGGTCCTGACAGAGCAGAGCCACAGGAAGTAAGTGGTGTCTCTTCCGGCTACTCCACACACACCCGTCGGCCGGTGTGAGCAAAAATGTGTGCTGTGCAATTATGGGCAACGTAACAAGTCCTTAAATACGAACCCTCTTCCTCCGCCCACAGTTTTCACATTTTCAGACGATGCTGGTGGGGGCCACTGGCTCTCAGCGGGAGCGCACATTCGAATCCCAGTTTGCGTCTGAAAGTACAGAATCAAGGCCTCATCCCAACATTCCGATGTCATGGTCTAGGAGGGACCCATGAAACTGATCTTTTAAGAGGAACTCCAGGTAACTCTAATGTACAGACAGAATTGGATGCTACCGAGTTAGGATGTAGGTTTTTCAATCTGGGCACATGGCAGGGTGCTTAGCATTGTTCCTGTTCTCTGTCCCCTACACGGCCAGTGATGACTCCCCTGGCTTATTGTGTTCCTTTATAAAGCGAACAAAATTGTGACACCAAAAACTGTGTCTCTGGGAGGCACAGCTGCTCCCAGCTGAGAACCGCTGGATCTGATGATGAGGATGGGAGGAGAGAGGCCATGGCGGCATTTGGTCCTCAAGGGGTAGTCACAGGACCTGCAGCCCCCGGGAGCCTGTTAGAACTGCAGACCCCGCCCCCACCCCGAGTGGGTGCTCCTGTTCATAGGGTGCCTGTCATTCACGTGCCAGTTTGAGAGCACTGCCCTGCCGCAGTGTTTTCTTTCCCTGGAAACACTTATCAACCGAGTTAGGTGATTAAATAGCCCTTTACCATCAGCTCCAAGACAACATGAGATCAGAGCCGCCAGGTGTCGAGGCAGGAGGCACCTGGAAGTCATCCATGGCAGGCTGGTCCCTTGCAGGACAGCTCATGAGGGGAAGTGGCAGGGAGGGCAGGTGAGAGGTACCTGAGGTGGGGACACCTGAATGAGGGGACCTGAATGTCCTAACCAGGAAACTGGGCAAGGGAGCCACTGCTGTCCCAGAGACCAGCTGTTTCCCCTGCCCCTGCCTCGTGGACACCTTGAAATGACAGTCATGCCGAGCCACAGCTTCCTGGTGCCTGAGCAAGGCCTGTCCCCGACGGGGCAAGGGCGAGTGGGAGGCCTGGGCGGGATGGAAGTGGCCTGGCCGAGCCACCAGGGCAGTGTGCGTGGGCACACCCTCTGCAGGGTTGGCAGGGAACGGAGAGCAGACCTGCCATCGGCACCTCACTGTCTCCTGGGAGAACCAGGCCTGGGGTTGCCTCTGACCTCGCCGGGACATCTGTGTAGGTGAGGGCTGGCTGGACCAGATGTCAAGGTCAACTCTGAAGGGGAGGGGAGGCCACAGGGCAGCCTCTGTGTGTGTGTGTGGGGCGGGGGGGACTATTATAGAAATGGGCCACAGTGATGGGAGGGAGCCCTGTGATATTTATCAAAACTAGCACTCCCCTCTCATCACCCTCTCCTTATCCCTGCCTATTGCCCCTCCTCCCTACCACTGAGCCGCGCCTGGCATTAATTTAGACATCTTCTTGTTCACTAGTGTCTGGAGTGTAGCCCTGTCTCGATAGACTAGGCTCCACGAAGACAGGGTCTCTGACTAGCTCACAGTGGAATCGCAGGGCCTGGGCCGGACCTGGCTCACAGCACTCTCTAAATGTTTGTCCAATGACTGGATAAATGAATGAGCAAACAGATAAGCTCCAGGGTGTTTTATTTGAAGGGTGTGCTCTCGAGAGGCAGAGCCCTCCAAGTCCCTTTACAAATATTTTATTTTATTGATTTCAGAGAGGAAGGGAGAGAGAGATAGAAACATCAATGATGAGATTCGTTGATCGGCTGCCTCCTGTACACCTCACGCTGGGGATCGAGCCTGCAACCCGGGCAGGTGCCCTGACTGGGAATCAAACTGTGACCTCCTGGTTCATAGGTCAAAGCTCAACGACTGAGCCACACCGGCCAGGCATGTTGAGTTCATTTTAAAGGGCGCGAGAAACAGAGGCCTCATGGGTCATGGAAGCGAGGCTGACCATCAGGAATCGTGGAGAAACCACCAGGCCGCTCCATGCACAACCCAGGCCCGTGGCCTTCTTCCTCCTGGAGGGTTAGGTACGTTCAAGGCGCTGCCCACGCTAGGCACATGGACGGTGGGTGGGAGGGGAGCCCGGCAGGGGCAGGGAGGCCAGGTGACTCCTGGGGAGGGTACAGCAGCTCTCCACGAATGAAACCAACGTGCTCTTACCAGATGCACAGCACCGAAGCGGATCTCAACACACACATCTAGCATTTTACTGCCTAGAGTGTGAAAACGTCTTAATGGGACTGTAAAAAGCTTAGACAAATGGAGACAAGCAGCCGCCCATTCGCTGATCCCGCCCTCTGTATGAGGGGCACCACATCTGCCAATTCAACTAACTGTCTGTCAAAAAATCCCACAACCGTTCCCAGAAGCTGATCCCTAAACACTACAGTGGACCAGCTTTTAGCGCAGCATTCGCATTGCGGTAGGTTTGTAAGTTGCCCAGAGGAGAGTTACAGCACAGGGAGGATGTGCTTCGAGCAGGCACTAGTCCACTTTATATACGGGACGCCCCTGGACTTCAGTGTCTGAGGCAGGTCCTGGGACTGAGGCCCTGTGGATGCCGGAGGATGACTGCAGGATCATCGTCCCCGAGCCAGGCACGGTGCGGGATTCTGCTGGAGCTGTGGTGACCACACCCACTGCCTGCTTCCTACCGTCAGGCTGGGACTCAGGCTGAGCTAATCATCATCAGGGGGGATGCTTAGGTCTCATCCATCTCAGAAGGACCTGGAGGGCTGCCATGGGGAGCGGAGGCTGGACGGAGCCTGAAGGCTGAGAGGTAGTAACCAGGTAGGGCGTTTAGTGAGTGGGGTGGGCAAGAGGGTGTAACCTAGACCTTGCTACTTACTGGGGGCCATGGACCAGCAGCATCACTGGGGGCTTGTCGGAAAGGCCCTGCCCCAGACCTACAGAATCAGAATGCACATTTGAACAAGACCCGGCGGTGATTAATTTGTGTGTTAAAGTAGAAGAAGCCAAACCGAGGGAAGAGAGAGAGAGAAAGAGGGGGGGGGGAGGGGGAAGCAAACCATTGCTGTAGGTCCAGCTCCCTTTCTCCTGCGTGAAGTCAGCAAGACTGGAGTGTAGGGTTCCAGACACCCGGTCAGCGTTTTCTCTTTGCCTCGCCTGCAGAGACCATTACATTTCAAGCAATTGAAATGCAACCAATAAACAGGATATTGACTCAGAGACTCCAGCAGAGAAAAGGCTCTCCTTTCAGTGTCTGGCCTTCTGGGTCATGGGTGGGGATTTGTACTTGAATGTTTCCTCCTCACAGATGCAGAGGTCAGCTCACCAATTAAAACACGAATGTTCTTGCCCTGGCCAGCGTGGCTCCATGGGTTGGGTGTTGCCCCAGGCGCCACAAGGTTGCTGGTTAGATTCCCGGTCAGGCATGTGCTGGGGTTTCCGGGTTCAATCCCCAGTAGGGGAAATGCAGGAGGCAGCAGATGCATGTTTCACTCTCACATCGATGTTTCTCTCTCTCTCTCTCTCTCTCTCTCTCTCTCTCTAAAAATCAATAGAAATATTAAAACAAAACAAACCTTAATGCTCTTAAGGCAGAGCAAACTTGAAACCCCAAGTGAAAAGGGGCAAGGAAATTCAGCCCAGCCCATAAAATGCATGATGCACAGGAAAAGGAAATCTTACCAGCAAGCAGGTGTCTCTAAAATGAGCAAGCACTTCACAAACCATATTCCTACCAGCCAGGTGACCCGTCTCGGCCCATGCTGTGCGGAGTGTGAACTTGGACATCATCGCAGGACAGGCACCCAAGCTCACTGAGCTCTCAGACCCTCTGTTCCCTATGACCCAGGGATGCCGTCTGCTCCAGCCATGTAAGGGAGTGGCCAGGAAGGCCCAAGGAAGCAGTGAAAGTGCAGAGATAACAGCGTTTCCTCACCTTATCACTGTTCCAGGGATCAAAAGGCTAACTGGCCGCCGGGGTGGTTGCGGGGTGGGGCTTGGCTCTCCCGCACCTCGGAGCTCGGAGCTCGGACAAGCAGTCCTCCCTGCAGCAGAGCTCAGAGCTGGCTGGTGGGAACTGGTGCTGGAGGAATCTGCTGCCTCCACGCTTCGCACACTTGGGCCACATCCAGGGTGCAGGGCGGACTCAGCCAGCCTGAAGCAGCCGGCACCACCGGCGTGAGTCTGGTAGTCTGGAGGTTGCTGTGCGCCAGTTATTGCATAATCTGTGGGCGGGTCCTGCCCCCAGGGACGGCTGGAATGCAGGCTCCCGAGAGACTGAGTGGCAGGCGCATCCCGGGAGAGGTGGGCTGGGGTCACACTGGCCGGCCCTCAGGGCCTGCATTGGGGTTTTCTCTGCAGTGAGCCAAGGGAAGGGTACGGCCTGGGGGGAAGGGGGGCACCACTCACAGAGAGGAGGGGTTCCAGGTGGGAGAGGAAAAGGATAAGAAAACCAACTGAGAGTCCAGAGGACACACCTTTAGAACTGCCCTAGTGAGGGGAGCTCTGAGCCCTTCAGGAAGTAGAACAGAAAGGATTAAGGAGCAGGTCAGCGTGAGGAGTGGAGGGGAGTGGAGAGTGACTCAGGGTTCCTGCCCGGCTGCGGGTGGGTGCGGTGCCACCCATCATGACAGAGAATGAGAACCTAACGGGAGGAGGTCTGAGGAACAGAAAGAAAATCATGGGCGGCGTTTTAAAATTCACTTTTTACAGGATTTTCTGATTGTAAAAATATAATCTACGGGGTGGGGCCAAGGTAGGTTTGCAGTTGGTATGGAGAATAATGCAATAATTAATAAATGACAATACAAGAATAAACCCTGTGTTTTGTGTACTAACAACTGTAAACTTACTTTTGCCCCACCCTGTATTTAGGAAATACAGCATTTTTAAAAGAATATTTAAAATCACCTGTAATTCTGTTGGAGAGAGCGGCTTTGGCTTCTTGGTGCATTGCTCCCCGGCTTCCGTCTCTCTTTCTGTACGTGTGGGCCTGTGTATGTTTGTGTGGGCATCTGTATGTGTGTGTGTTTGTGTGTGTGTGCATGTGTATGTGTGTGTGAGTGCATGTGTATGTGTGCGTGTATGTATGTGTGGGTGTGTGTATGTGTGTGGTATGTGTATTTATAGAGGCCTGTGTGTATGTATAGAGGTGTGTGTGTGTATGTAGGCATGTGTGTGGGCATGTGTATATGTGGGTAGGTGTATGTGTATAGGTGAGTTCGGGTATGTGTATGTGTGTAAGTGTGTATATGTGGGTGTGCATTTAAAATTGTTGCTCTCACTGCATAGAGAGTTTGTTATTTCCCTCTTGATATAATATAATTTGATCATTCCCTGATCTTTAAATTATTAAAACATATTTTCCATGGCTGCTGAGGACTCTACCCCGTGGGGGCTTCTTTCCTGTGGAACAGTTAGATCACTTTCCTTCCACATTGAACAGCATGGCAATGAATATGTTTAATAAATCTTTATGTTTCAATAAAAGTTTTAAAATATTCAAATAACCTAACTGAGACATTTCTGTAGTAAAAAAAACCCCCCAAACAACAAACCCTTAAACTGATGTTGAAATACATACGATAAAAATCCAAGGCCAAACTTCCAGTATGAACACGGAGCTCAGCAACTTCCTCCTTCATCTCTTGGAAATCACAGAAGAGAAACAGGAAAACGAAACAAAACAAATGAATCACAAGCCGCGAAGCCTGCACTTTTAGTGAAAGCAGGAGGGAGGGATGCGGTGCAGGCTGCCCCGACGATGCAGAAACTTCCAGAAGCGGCGGAGAGAAGCGGGCAGAGGCAAAGGTCCCCAAGGGGCCCTGGGTCCCCCAGCCAATCCCAGGAGACACCAGAAAACATTGTTTCCTGAGCAGGGGCTCCTCCTGCAGTCAGCCTGGCTCCCTCTCTCCAGCAAGGCGCAGGGAAGGAGGGCGAGCAGGGCCCGGGGCACCTCGCAGGGGTCAGGAGAGAGGGCTGTGAAGTGATGCACACACATGTTCCCCATGTCCAGAACACAGTCCTCTCGCTCGGCAGCAGAGAACGGGAAATATGACTGTTGCGAACCAGGGAGGTCAGGTGGAGCCCACTTCCTTGCTCCATCGGAACCGCCTGCAGACAGCTGGCCCACAATTCCACAGTGAGTGCGAGAGATTGGGAAAAGGATCTCAATCAGAACTGATGAGTAAATGCTCTTTAAAAAATGTGGGAAAGAGCAGCAAAACTTACCGTTGAATGAAGGCATCAGAGAAAGGTCTTCAGAGAGCAAGAGAAAAACATGCATTTAGTCAGAAATTTAAAACACACACATACGATGGAACTGCCATTGGACCCAGTGATTCCACTTCTAGGCATATTTCCTAAGAAGCCAGAAACACAGTCAGAAAGGACACATGCACCCAAAGGGTATGTAGCGCAACTTACAACAGCTGAGATCTGAAACGGCCCAAGTGCCCATCAGTAGAAAATGGATTAAAAGTTGTGGTATTTAAGCATCCATCTTATATAAAAACTGCTGTTTGAAATTTTAACCCTGCTATTTCTGGCTTCTGTAAATGCTTGCTGGCTTAAGTAATAAGGAAAATAAGACTACTCCCATTTCAGAGAGGCCATTAAACCTTCTCCAGGTGAAGTTATCAGTGCTGGCACCAGGCCAAGCCTTTGGTCGAGAAGAAGGACCTCTTATCCTTTGAAACAGCATGGAGGGACCTAGAGAGTATTATGCTAAGTGAAATTATGCTCAGAGAAAGATAAGTATCACATGATCTCACTTATATGTGGAACCTAATGAACAAAGTAAACTGATAGACAAAATGGACCTAGAGCAGGGGTGGGCAAACTTTTTGACTCGAGGGCCTCAATGGGTTCTTAAACTGGACCAGAGGGCCGGAACAAAAGCATCGATGGAGTGTTTGTGTGAACTAATATAAATTCAAAGTAGACATCATTAAATAAAAGGGTACGGTCTTTTTTTTTTTTATTTTAGTTTTATTCATATCAAACGGGCCGGATGCGGCCCATGGGCTGTAGTTTGCCCACGGCTGATCTAGAGACATTTAAGCATGTAACAGAGGGAAGGGGGAGGGACGAGATCAACCAGAGAACTTACATGCATACATTCATAGCCCATGGACACAGACAATAGTCGGGTGAAGGCCTGGGGAGGGGCTGCGAATGGAGAGAGGTGTCAATGGGGGAACAAGGGGGACATCTGTAATACTTTCAACAATAAAGATAAATTAAAAATAAAAAACCAATGCATATTGGATCCATTTTTCAACAGAGGCCCATAATGAAGAAACACAAAAATTGGGGGAAGATACCAATGTAATGAGATGAAACTCAAGCTGATCAAACTCCAGAGAGACAGAAAAAAAAAAAGACAAAGTCATGAGAAGCCCTAGAGAGCATAGATACTTGTGAAAACATAGAAAGGAATACAGTAGGTAGAAATGAGGCAAGTGGAAAAATGTATGAAAATAAAGAAATATGCTTGAAATACTA